GGGGGGGGGGGTTACCAGGACAATGTAAGACTGTTTAGTTAAAGATTCAGTGTGTTCTTAACCTACGATAAAATATGTACAATATATAAAAAAAAACTAACTGCGCAACTCCCTGATGTATTTCTGCTCTTTCTGCAACATGAGCCTCATCGTCAGCACCTTCGACTCTTCCAACTGCCGCTGGTTCTCCGGCTGCAACAACACAAGGACACAACTCGTACAGTCAAAGAATTAAATTCGCCTCCCACTTAAATTTATAGAATAATGTAAAGTAGCTCGCCCAATAAATAGTTAAATTCAGAAAGTATATCTTAACAAACAATCCCCACAAATAACATTTTTGTATATTCGTATAGGTAACAGGTGAATTATAAAGAGATACGTCAATAGAGGAATTTCGCCGGCGACCTCAAAATCCGTACGTTTGTTTGTACAGATGCAACTACTTGCAGGGGGGAGGGGAATAACGCTTCGCTCTTTGCAGTAGACTGACAGAAACTAATTTGTATGATAAAACTTATAAAATTAAACTCAAAACACTGTAACAACATATATTTAGTGCAGGCTTACATTGACGGGTAGTGGCGCAGTGATGGGCGTCTTGTTCCGCGAGCTATTCTGTTGTACAGTCAACGCTATTGTCGGTTTTGCTGCAACACAAAACATTTACAATTACACATAAATCTGAACTCTGTTACACTATTTCCTACACAACTTTATAACCAGCGTTACGTTCTTTACCTCGTATCATGTGAACGACCTGCTGATGTGTGTGTTGGTACACGTGGACAGCATCCACGCAAAGTATGCGGTCACCAGCGCGGAGGCCAGCTCGCCACGCCGCTCCATGCTCCTTCACAGACTGTACGTACACAGGGTTGTCACCTGAAACAGGTAGCCAGAACTGATTACAACAGTATTACAGATAGGTCAGTTTTAGGGGCGACGACCCTATTTGCATGGTTAAAACTTGTGAAGTAATCTTTAGTTCAGTACGTGTACTTTGCAGTAGTGTTAGGATCAGGATCACTGTTGTTGTGCACTCACCGGAGACCTTCATGCCGTAGCCGTGCTCGTCGCGCACCACGGTGACAGTGAGCAGCTCCCCCGCGCCGGGCTCTCCCCCACCCCCTCCCCCTCCGCCTGGCCCAGGCCCCGACACGCCCAGCATCACCTGCAATAAACCCAAGTTATGAAATTCACCAAGATCCTGTAAACGCTTCCAGCATTTAAAACACGTGGATGTCAAGGTAACATTTAAAACATTAGCAACAAACATCGGCCGGTTATTTCGGCACTCGGTGACATCATATTTACGTGGTTTCACATGATTTACGACATATAAACGAACCTTTCTATTAATTTAACGACCTTAAAGACACAAAGGCGCGTGTCGCCGGGGGACTATTTCGACAGCTTACGAAGGTCGATATTTACGAGGCAAGTCGAATGCGACAACACGGCCGGCGGACCGTGCGCTGCACAATAAATATTTACACCGCTCGTAAATAATTTTCTAGTAATAAGCAAAGTAAAGCTAACTCCGCCATGTAGGTCTGTTTGCGCTGCGCAAACGCAACCAGAACAATTGTAATAATTACAAATGTAAGTACAAAGGATCGTATGACCTCGTATGTGCAAAGTATATAGGAATTCATATTCTCTAATTCTTATAATTTTCTATAGAATTTTATATTAATACGACCTCGGAAAGGAAAACATCAGTCTTAATTATAATCTTTTATTAGTTCCATTGTCAATATCATTGCTCACGTGGATAACTACGTAAAACTTCTTTTTTCTTCTTTTCTTTTTTTATTTTTTCTTTCGAGTAAAATTTCTGTTAGTTATCTAACTAGTTAGTTATTGAAATTCTAGAAAGATCTGAACACTATCATTAGACCAACGGGCTTTTCTTTCTTTAGCATTTTTAATTTATTTTGGTTTGAACTTTACTGCTTAGAGGAGGGTTAAATCAAAAGTAAACAAGTCGCGAAATAAAACGTCTCGTTAAAAATAACTTTTGAGTATATGTATTAAAAAATAATTGGCAAGCACATGGGCCCCGGAGCCCGCAGCCACATGTCGGTCTGCGGGAGATTGAAAAATACCACAATTCAGTACGGAACTATATAGCCAACATAGCAGAAAGAAAACATTGGTACATTGTTGGCTTCCTAGAAGCGTATATTTCAGATACTATCTCCACTTGCGGACAATTCTTTGGTTACCATTATATGACGTCACCAGCCACTATTCGTAGATGACACGAGGTCGTTTATCAAGATCACGCTATGCCACCGCACTGACATGTGTGACATCGTGTGCCAGTGTGCGTGCGGAAGCACCGTAACAACACGCTGGAAATATTCCAGATAACGTACGTGGATAGGGAAGTCTACGCGACAATATACCCACAAAAATTATTTATATCATTTATTACAAACGTTTAAAACTATATTACTGCTTCGCGGAATCTTTTAAAAAATATAAATGTATTTCAATAATATGAGTTAAGATTTACAAGACCTCCACGCCTATCACCAGCTCACTGTACGTCCCCAATGGGCTCGGAGCCTATGCTAAGTTGGGATGACTAGGCGATAGTCAACAACGCTAGCCATGTGTGGGTTGGATCACTTCAAGAATATCGCATCACGATGGTTTTCTTCACCGTAAAAACGTCGAGTAAATTTTGTAAATATGATTATTCAAAAATTCAAAAATCACATTGGTACAGCGGGATTCGAATCCAAGACCAAACTATAGTTTAGAAGAGCTTAAACTACTGAGCCACCGACGCTCTTTCCATTGATTTAGACGTCCTTTTTCATGTATTCTTCATTGTCAATGAATTCCATTTTACTAATTGATTTATAAATTGATTTATTTCTCTTACAGCAGCATATTACAGACACCTATATAGGCTCACAAATAAAACAACATACCTTGAAGTTGCTAGTTATGTTTTGATTAGATAACCCCAAATCGATTTCTAAGAATAAGCTGTGCCCTCACTTGGGACCTCAACGACGTAGTCGATTTTAATTAACATTTGATATATGCGACGAGCATACAGTGTATGACCATGTAGACAGTGAGACGAGAGAGGTTACTACCGAGCTAAGAAGTCGGTAATCTCCTACCTCACTGGGTTAGAAGCGTGAGTTTTGTTGTACATATAATTTATTTCTTGAACGATATTAATTATCATGTTAAACTGAGTGACACTGAATTCTCATAACAAGCCAATCAAAGCAAATTCTATATTACGCGCCAAATTCATCGTCAATTTACATAGTTCACATCGGACCGTGGCCGACGTTAATAAAGATGCGTTTACAAAAGCCAAACGGTTATTTTGAAAACTTATATTTTGACAATTTTGAGGTTCAATTAGGACATTCCAGGATACTTATATTTATATTAATTACTGGCTATTTCGGTACGGCTTCATTCGCATGAAATTATACATAACTTTATTTTATTGTTTACATTTGTCAAATTCTCAATTATAAATGTCAAAATTACCGTTACTATAATAACTTTGCTTCCTTAATGTTGGCAGCGTGTAGCTTATGGTCTCTTTCCCACATGACGGTTTTTTCCAATTTATTTTCCTTTCTAACTTTAATAGCGTGCAAATATATAGCCTAAAGCGTGTCGTAAGTGTAGGGAATAATTAAAATAAGAATTATTCAAAAATAAACTGTGATTGCTGACATCCTACGCCACGAAGTACTGTGTGTTTACGCTTTATTATATAAGTATAGACTATAGATATAGGTTTAATACTAAGAAATTATTAAAAACCAAAATTCGAATCATAACATCATGTTTGTTCGTATCTAGCTTCCCATATTTTATTAATGAAGCCGGCGTCAGTAACAGATCCCCGGATGTTTACGAGTCATCGTAACATCAACCGTTCATGTTTCGCTTGAGGTTATTTTTAATTCGTAATATTGTAATTTATGTTTATTCATTCAATATTTAAGTCGTATTTACACTATCTAGATACTACAAAACGCGCGTTTTACGCTAGCGTGTAAAAGCACCCTTACCAGTGACGACTTTCCCACTCTGCGATAGATTCGCTTTATGATGTAATTATGTGTCATACGAACACATTTGGCGACTGATCGCGTCAAAATTAAGAAGTTTCTAGACGGAAGTGTAATATATTAATATAAAAATTAACCTTCATCTTTTTAATAAGCAAACCATTTTATTTTACGAACACTGACAATCTGACAAAAATCTTGACAAAATATCTTATTATTTTTTGCTTTTCAAAATCTAATTTAAACTCTTGATATAACTGATTCTACAATAAACTTCATTCGAATGAGGGAAAGATGTTCTGATGAGTGACGCGAGGCCGGGGCGCGGCAGACAGGTGGCCTCTTGTGCATGCCAATGAAGTGACGTCTAGAACATTCTAGATCTCAACGATATGGTCTGAAGACGAAGATATATTACACGACGGGTGGATTATCCGTCTGCTTACACACACTATGGATGAGGGCAATAAAAAATCTAAGATTCAATACATTAACTATCAGTAACTATTTTTGTATTCATATTAATATCGTAAAGAGGAAAGATTTGTGTTTTATGTAAGAAAGAAAATCTACCTTCTATATTTCACGTCACATTTAGATGCTCCATTATTCCTGAGTAAAATAGGCTATATGGATTTTAAATCCATACAAAGCGTCACAGTAGCGTCGCGAACACACACGTGTACCAAAATAAATATAAAAAGCTATACGCGCTTAATCATCACCAACAATACATTTTAATGTTTTCCGCAGTCGACAGTAGCGAGGCCCGCGGCTCGCAGACGTCGCGACGCCTACAGACCGCATTGCGACCAAAAAGGCTTCCAACTGCGACATTTTGACATTTTATAATGAGAGTACATCAAATATTTTGGTTGGAGAAACAATAATAATCAGGTTAAACCATCTAATTTATTTGAATGTAGGCTCGTTTATAGAATTGTTTGTACTACAACTTAAATTATTTCATGAAATATGCTATGCTATGTAAAACTCCATTAAGTTTTGGCTGATATCGACCGCCGGGGAAATGCTGGAAGACAGCCACGCGACGCCGCTTTGTCACCGTTCCAACTAACTTGTCGTCGTGATATTACGCCATAATTCTAAATAACTACATTATTACGGTGCTTTTGAGGAACTGAAATCTATTATCTACTGATAATTGGTTCCTTAAGCACACACGCTGCTAAATTAGTATAGGTAGACTGAAGTTACTCGAACTTAGGCAACTTCCCAGTCGTTGATTTGGGTAGACCCAAAGCAAGGTAGACAGATGATGCTGAAAGAAATATGTGACTGGTATAGTTCAGATCGAGACGCCAGCAAGATGGTACCGCCTAATGGAGATAGCAGACCGAACCACCCATAGATTACTAACTCTCAGAGGGAACGTTTGTAATCTAGACAGTATTAGATCCAGTACCGTTTAGATTAGAAGTTTTCGCAAACAATGACCCTATTTAAAATGAGCCTCACAGCCATGGTGAGATAATTCACACGATGACGTAACCGGTGTCGTCATCGATTCCAGAGCATAATTTGCAATGTAGACGCGAGCCCCTGCTGTTGAATCACTTGGCTCGCCTCACTAATAAGACATGCAAAACACAAGCTATTCCCACGCCGAGGGCTGGCAGTTTTAAGTTATTTTTAATTCCAGATCATAATCCAATTATACAGATTTTAAATTACTTGAGGAAAAATGTAGATTGTGTGATGTGACAATTTATAAGATTTATCTTTTCCCAGTTAATTCCAAATTGAACTTTAAAATTGTTGCTTCTTAGCTTCCTAGCAAATTGTTTAGGACCTACTAGGTTGTAAAAAAAAAGCAAATTCACTACCTTATATAGACTATGATGAGATATTGGGAACTAATTAGAGGATGACTCATTGGATCGTCATTTGTTCCTGGTATCGCTGGAGGCTGCCGGCGGCGGGACACGTTGACTCGGGAACAGGTTAGATGTTACTGCTTTTTATTTCGCATTACATAGTGATGTTATGTGATAGGAATGTTGTAAAATTGTTGTGGTATTAATTATCAATTATATTCCTGTAGTTATTAGAATTTTCAGAGGAAAAACTATTTATTTTGTTTCCAACA